ATTAATTTTACTTGCATGTATTTGTAGGTATTCAAAGGAAATAAAGACAGAGACAGCATTGTTTATCACCAGTTAAACCCACCCATCAAAGCTCGCTACATCAAACTTCGACCAACAGCATGGTATGGTCATATATCACTAAGGATGGAGCTGTATGGTTGCTCAGCAGGTATGATTGTTGTCTTACATGAACTTATTTGGCACTGAAAAACGGAAGGGTGAAACACATGTTTTGATTATAACCAGTATAATGCTGAAATTGATATGGCAAGAACCTCTAGATTGTTAGATACTACGTTATGACATACAAAGAAAATTTCTGCTTAATCCAAATTTTGTGTTACTTTTAAATTTTCAATAGAACTGTATGTACCTACCCTCAAACATACCTACATACCTCAGTACATAAATACATACACACAAACTGTTCTTTTACCTTCTTTATTTCTGTAAAGAATGTTCGGCACCTCTTGGCTTGGAGAGTGGACGCATTAACCCTTGCGAACTGAATTCCCAGTTTTCTGGGAATTCCTAGGAATTCCTAGGAATTCTCAAAAATTCCCAATTATGCAAATGACCCTTGCAAACTGAATTCCCAGTTTTCTGGGAATTTCTGGGAATTTCTGGGAATTTCTGGGAATTCCTAGGAATTCCTAGGAATTCCTAGGAATTCTCAAAAATTCCCAACTATGCAAATTAGCTCTGATTTAAAAAGCTTGGAATTACTGGGAATTTCTGGGAAAGGAAGACTCCAGTTTTGTGAGGACTTGGAATCCCTAGGAATTCCTAGGAATTCTCAGCTTTACAAACTACCTATAATTTAAGAAGTGTGGAACTCTTGGGAATTTCTGGGAATTGAATTTGAGGCAATTTTAATACCCTGAGGTCCACATAAATTCTAAGAAATTCTCAATACCTTGAATGTGAAGGTTTTAAGAAAAAGGGTAATTTCAGAGGCTTAAAACTTTGGCTCAATAAAAGGTATGCTATACAAAACTTACCAAGAGATATACATACATGTACATGTTTATAACTTAAAGATCATGAAATTTATTACTCAAACTAAGTTTTAGTAAATCTTTACATTAATATGGATTTTCTCATGAACCAGCTGTCAGTTATGTTAAATGGAAATTGCCAACTTCCACAATAATTAACAATAATTACATTGTTATCCTACTTCCCTAACCTACATTACTGGTTGCCTTTGTTAGAAAATCTTGGAACAGTCAAGCTCAGTTGCCTCCAACTCTGTCAGAGACTTTTTGTTGACAATACTTTTAGTAGAAATTTCATGCCTTAGACAAACAAATTCAACACCTAATTAATCTTTCTTTTTTCATGATTGTTGTTGCTGCTTTTTTTTTCAGTTTTTTGCTCTATTTTCATGACTAATTGCTGTAATTTGTTTTGCTGTTTTTATTCTTACAAAACATTTTTGTAAGAGTTTCAATACTTGTGGATCATCCACACACTTTGCAAACATTTGGCATGCAGACAAGACAGAGGTAGTCAATGTTCCCTTTGCGGAAAAACACCTTTTATATGACGTCTTCAATTTACTTTATTTGAAACTCTGATCTGAAAATATTTGTCAACAAGACTTGTTAGTAGTGAGAAATACCAACTAAGTTTCCTTTCATAACTTAATTTCTTAAATGTCCCAATCACTGGATCTCCCAAAAAACATTACATCTTTTTATTTTTGGTGCAAATTACAAGTCCTTCTTCATATAAAAATGAAAAGTGCTAGTCACACTTCAATAATAACAGCTCTTAAGTTTACTTGTTGTTCTTCTCTGTCTGTCAGCTATCAACAAAATTGTTTTATACTTCGGGCAGTGCATAACTATTTGTGGACCAGAGTTCCAACGCACCTCTGTAATCGCATATAGCTACTTCTGTCTCTTGTACAAATGTTTCTCCTTTGTAAGACGCACTCTACTCTGTTGTCAATACTGCTTTAAGTTCAGTGGAAACGACTGACTGAGGAATCGAGATGGCGGTGTTGGAACGTGTTGCTGAACGCTTTCTACGGTCAAGCTTTGTAGATTTAGGTACTGGTACACTGAGATCATCTATGTATCTCTTATACTTCCGAATGTGGTATCCTTCTTTTACAAATATGAGGGTAAAAGACGATTTGTAGTCGCATTCAAAACTGTGATTGGCTTGTGTTATTTCTCACCTTTGCCATTAACACCACTCAAGTGAGTTTCGAGTCTTTGTTTCCTCGACAACTTTCGGCCACAAAACGAGCATTTGTAATACGATCGATTCTTGTCGATTATTTCTACATAGAGTGAGCTCACATCTTTATTTATATCACCAAGCTATCCATCTTCTAGAAGCAGAGAACCGGTCGGAGAAGTCAGAATAAAGTTAGGCACTTCTCCTAACACTGCAATCGGCAAGCCAGCGGATTCACTCTGCTAGCCAATGACAAGTCCTAAAAGATCCACGTGATCATGCCCGTGATCGGAAACAAAGAAGACTCCATTTGGCGCTCATCTTTGAATGTACTTTTCATCGGTTGATCGCTTTTCTCAACTGTTTTGCTTAATATAACATTTCTAAAGATAGCTTTTATTGTGGTTCAATGGGAAAACGAGAATAGCGTGAGTGTTGTAAAAGAAAAGAAAGTCGTTGGCGCCGTGGAGTTAAAAGAAGGGACAACAGTTGACATGTTGACTGGTACAAACAAGGGTCGAATGGCCGTCTGTAAAGCTACGATTTTGAAAGTTTGTGGTGAGTAAAAATTGCGATATTCGTTACGTGATCAAAATCTTATAAAAGAATAGATGTAGCGGGTTGAATTAAGCTTACATAACGCTCGGCGCAACTGAAACTAGAATAATTCTGAGAATCGAATCGGTCACTTGCATGCCGCAGTTTCTTAAGCTTATTATGCTTTACAATGAAATAAACCTATCAGTAAGGTTTCAAGATTCCTCTAGTCACGTTTGGGAACATTCAAGATTCAAAATAGGAACTGTTATTAAACAAACCTTAGTACATAAAGAAGCCCTCCTTGGTAAAAACAAAATAATGTATTCAGCCCTTTTTTAGTAAAATCCATGAGAGAGATGTACTAACTCCAATATGAAAGTCACTCAATATAACAGAGATTTCTCAATTTGAGAATCCAATGAATGCCCTTTTCCTCATAGCCATCTTAAAAGCCTGGTCTTAGCTTTAAATATACATATTTTAATATATTATTTTTTTTCAAATTCAGATGTCAAGGAATCCAGATACAAAATGGTCAAGGTTCTTGTTGACAACCTCATTCAAGGCCAACTCATTGTGAGCCCAGGAAAAAAAATACAAACAGTACAAACAGCAGCTAAGTTTGCAGTTTAGGATAACTTCATTCTAATTTATTGTTACGGTTAAAACAAGATTTTAATCAAAAAATCAATTTTATTTGTCTGTAATTAGCCCCTTCACTCCCAAGAGTGCTTGGTTTTCAAATATAACTTAAGATATTGTATTTTATGGAAAAGAATCAACAGATTTTATTCACAATTTGTGTCAAACCAAATTTAATGATTGATTAGAACTATTTTATATGAATAGCTGTAATTGAGGATTAATTAACATAAACAATAACATGACTGTGGTAACTGATTATTAATTTTACTTGCATGTATTTGTAGGTATTCAAAGGAAATAAAGACAGAGACAGCATTGTTTATCACCAGTTAAACCCACCCATCAAAGCTCGCTACATCAAACTTTGACCAACAGCATGGTATGGTCATATATCACTAAGAATGGAGCTGTATGGTTGCTCAGCAGGTATGATTGTTGTCTTACATGAACTTATTTGGCACTTAAAAATGGAAGGGTGAAACATGATTGTTTTGATTATAACTAGTATAATGCTGAAACATGGATATGGCAAGAATCTCTAGATTGTTAGATGCTACATTACGACATACATAGAAAATTTCTGCTTGATCCAAATTTTGTGTTACTTTTAAATTTTTAATAGAACTATATGTACCTATTCTCAAACATACCTACATACCTCAGTACATAAACACATACAAATAAACTGTTTTTTTTCCTTCTTTATTTCTGTAAAGAATGTTCAGCACCTCTTGGTTTGGAAAGTGGACGCATTAAAGACTCTCAACTCACTGCATCTTCAGAGTGGGATAGAAATCATGCAGCAATCCAGGGAAGATTGAACTTCAAGGCTGGTGGAGGCAAGCAAGGAGGATGGTCAACTGGGAAGAATAATGGAAATCAATGGATACAGGTGGCTCTTGGCAGTTACACTAAATTAACAAGTATAGCAACACAGGGAAGGAATGCTCACAGCCAGTGGGTAACAGCATACAAGCTACAGTACAGTGAAGATGGAGTGAAGTTTTACTACTATAAAGTACCAGGACAGAGCTCACCTAAGGTAAATGTAGAAGCAGTTACTTGGTTTAAAACTGTTAAAAACATATCTTTATGTCTGCACAGTATAGACTGAGGTAACAGTTATAATATGTTGCAAGTATTTCATAATTAAGTCATCTGCAAATACCAAGGAGCTAAGCCCCTGATCATGCATTCTACTATGGAAAAAGTTAATTATGCCACATATCTAGCCTGGTATTCAAAATTGAAGTTTCTTGATTTTCTCTTGCATATTTACAGCTAGTGCAATCAACATGTTATAATTTTAAATGTAAGTTTAAACTACCTTTTAAAATGGCATGACTGTGGTAACTGATTATTAATTTTACTTGCATGTATTTGTAGGTATTCAAAGGAAATAAAGACAGAGACAGCATTGTTTATCACCAGTTAAACCCACCCATCAAAGCTCGCTACATCAAACTTCGACCAACAGCATGGTACGGTCATATATCACTTAGGATAGAGCTGTATGGTTGCTCAGCAGGTAAGATTGTTCTCTTACATGAACTTAATTGGCACTTAAGAATGGAGGGGTGAAACACATGTTTTGATTATAACCAGTATAATGCTGAAACATGGATATAACAAGAATTGGTATATTGTTAGATGCTACATTATGACATACAAAAAAATTTCTCCTTAATCCAAATTTTGTGTAACTTTTAACTTTTTAATAGAACTGTATGTACCTACCCTCAAACATACCTACATACCTCAGTAAATAAATACATAGGCATAAACTGTTCCTTTACCTTCTGTATTTCTGTAAAGAATGTTCGGCACCTCTTGGTTTGGAGAGTGGACGCATTGAAGATGCTCAGGTCACTGCATCTTCAGAATGGGATAGAAATCATGCAGCAATCCAGGGAAGATTGAACTTCAAGGCTGGTGGAGGCAAGCAAGGAGGATGGTCAGCTGGGAAGAATAATGGAAATCAATGGATACAGGTGGCTCTTGGCAGTTACACCAAATTAACAAGTATAGCAACACAGGGAAGGAATGCTCACAGCCAGTGGGTAACAGCATACAAACTGCAGTACAGTGAAGATGGAGTGACCTTCTACTACTACAAAGTACCGGGACAGAGCTCACCTAAGGTAAATGTAGAAGCAGTTACTTGGTTTAAAACTGTTAAAAACATATCCTTATGTCTGCACAGTATAGAGGTAACAGTTATAATATGTTGCAAGTATTTCATAATTAAGTCATCTGCAAATACCAAGGAGCTAAGCCCCTGATCATGCATTCTACTACATATCTAGCCTGGCATTCAAAATTTGAGTTTCTTGATTATCTCTTGCATATTTACAGCTAGTGCAATCAACATGTTATAATTTTAAATGTAAGTTTAAACTACCTTTTAAAATGGCATGACTGTGGTAACTGATTATTAATTTTACTTGCATGTATTTGTAGGTATTCAAAGGAAATAAAGACAGAGACAGCATTGTTTATCACCAGTTAAACCCACCCATCAAAGCTCGCTACATCAAACTTCGACCAACAGCATGGTATGGTCATATATCACTAAGGATGGAGCTGTATGGTTGCTCAGCAGGTATGATTGTTGTCTTATATGAACTTATTTGGCACTGAAAAATGGAAGGGTGAAACACATGTTTTGATTATAACCAGTATAATGCTGAAATGGATATAACAAGAAACTGTAGATTGTTAGATACTACATAATGAGGTGTGTAGAACATTTCTGCTTGATCCAAATTTTGTCTAATTTTTTAATTTTTACTAGAACTGTATGTACCTACCCTCAAACATACCTACATACCTCAGTACATAAACACATACACATAAACTGTTCTTTTACCTTCTGTATTTCTGTAAAGAATGTTCGGCACCTCTTGGTTTGGAGAGTGGACGCATTAAAGATGCTCAGGTCACTGCATCTTCAGAATGGGATAGAAATCATGCAGCAATCCAGGGAAGATTGAACTTCAAGGCTGGTGGAGGCAAGCAAGGAGGATGGTCAGCTGGGAAGAATAATGGAAATCAATGGATACAGGTAGCTCTTGGCAGTTACACCAAATTAACAAGTATAGCAACACAGGGAAGAAATGCTCACAGCCAGTGGGTAACAGCATACAAAGTGCAGTACAGTGAAGATGGAGTGAACTTCTACTACTATAAAGTACCAGGACAGAGTTCACCTAAGGTAAATGTAGAAGCAGTTATTTAGTTTAAAACTGTTAAAAACATATCCTTATGTCTGTGCAGTATAGAGATAACGGTTATAATATGTTGCAAGTATTTCTTAATTAAGTCATCTGCAAATACCAAGGGCTAAGCCCCTGATCATGCATTGTACTATGGAAAAAGTTGATTATGCCACATATCTAGCCTGGCATTCAAAATTGAAGTTTCTTGACTTTCTCTTGCATATTTACAGCTAGTGCAATCAACATGTTATAATTTTAAATGTATAATGACCCCTTTTATTTAAAATAAATAACAATCCCCACACCGGGGTAGTCCCATCAGAAAGTACATCTCTGCTATCAAGAGGAGCCCTGGTGAATAGGATCATAAAATAAATCAAATGCATAATGCTAAAATCAATATAAATAATACTACCAATAATAATAACAGCGGCAAGACTAATAATTTATGTGCTATCTAAATATCGAACGATACTATAAAAATCTATATATATAGAATGGTATAAAAATCTATAAATACACACAAAACAATAAGAATCTAGTCAATATAAAATATTATAAAAAATTCTAATTAACTTGAATATTATAAACAACTCATCTATGATAATAAAAAAATTTCGTGGCTGTTTCAGTTCTAACGCGAGGCAAATGAAGTAAATTTCTCTGTCTTGTTCTGGTATTATTAAAATTGAAATATTGCTTAAAAAATTGAGGACAGTTACCAGAAATGCATTTATTAACTAATTTAAAAGTATGTTCGTCTCTTCTCGACTGTAACTCAGGCCATTTAAGATCTATTAAAGCTTTGTCACTACCCATAGATATTGAAACAATTTTGGATGCCCTTCTTTGAAAATTATCCAGCAGTCTGGCATTGCCCACTCCACAACAGTTCCATACAGTGTCGCCATTGTCTAAAATTGGACAGATAAATGATAGATATAAATTGTTGGCAGCATGACAAGTTAAATCTCTTCATAATAGAGATAGCATACCTAATCTTTTCTTAGCTTTAGATAAAATGTGCTGAATGTGGGGAGCCCAAGAAATAGTCTCATCAAATATAATACCAAGATAAGTGAATATGTTTACCCGTTTTAAACTTTGTCCATGAAAAGTAATATCAAAGTCTTAATGTTTGGACAGTTTAGAATGAATTCCAAATAGCATGGCTTCAGTCTTGGTGGTATTTAGAAACAAGCTGTTCACTTGAAGCCATTCACCCATTGTATTCAGGCCCTCATTCAGACTGTCTTCGATGACTTTAGAGTTATATCCAGCACAAAACAGAACGTATCATCTGCGTACATAAGCATATTACAAATCTTAATGCAGAGGGGCAAATCGTTGATAAGAATAACAAAGAGTAGAGAGTCTAATATGGAACATTGTGGAACACCAGATGTTATGTGTAGAGAATCAGACGAGGCACCACCAATGCCAACAACTTGGGTGCGGCCAGACAGATAGTTTTCAAACCAGTTTCGCTCTTTGCCTTTGATTCCAAGAAAGTGCAGTTTTCTCAACAAAATAGAATGATCTATTGTATCAAATGCCTTACGCAAGTCCACAAAAACTGCTCCCATCATAAAACCCTGATCAATATTTTGCCGGATTGTGTCTGCGAAGGACAGAGCTGCAAATGTTGTTGAGTGTTGTTTGCAAAATCCACATTGGAATGGGCTAAGTAGATGGTTTTCTTGTAAATAACTTACTAGTTGAGTATGCACCACTCATTCAAGTAACTCTGATATTGCAGGTAAGATAGATATGGGGTGATAATTGTCAACATTGTCTTTCCTCCCTTTCTTAAATAATGGAATAACATAAGCAGCTTTCCAGTCGTCTGGAACTTTGCTCTGAGACAGTGAAGCATTAATTATTGCTGTAATAGGTTTAGTGACTATTGCAGAAGCGTCCTTTAGAAGTCTTGGTGGAATATTATCTAAGCCCACAGCTTTGCCTGATTTAAGTGGTCGGATTTCAGACAGAACAGTAGATTGAGAAATATTTGTAAACAGAAAAGTAGAGTTTGTAGCTTTTGTTAAAGATAGACTTGACGAGAGGTTCGATGCAGCATTTATAAATGATTTGCAAAGGTTGATAGCTGTATTTACAAAGACATTGTTGAAAGAATTTGCAATTGAGCTTTTTTCAGTTATTACTTGACCATCAACTTTTGAGTTTTGGTGATGGTTGTTTGCTTTTGGAGAGCAGGATTTTCTTAACTGTTCACCAGAATGAGTTGGGATCGCCAGCATTCTCGTTGATGAGCCTTCGATTGTAGTTTTCCTTTTCCTTTCTGATTAAATTGGTAACTCAATTTCTTTGTAAGTGGTATCTTTTCAGTCTGAGGGAAGTCCGGTGGTGTGAGCTTTTTTCTGTAAATAATCCCTTTGTCTCATTTGACGTTTGATAGAAGTATTGAGCCAAGGAAATAATTGTTTAAGCCCCTAACGCGTTTTACAATAGTGGGGTGTGACGTTCTGCTATGTTGGTAAACTTATCTTTGAAGGACTGCCAAAGCTCATTAACATCCTTATTGTTAACGTTTTCACTTGGGAGATCGAAGTCTGTGTTTTTCAAGTCCTCAAGGAATTTATCTGGGTCGTAATTTGCATAATTTCGAAATGTTTTAAGTTGTTATGGAGTCTTTTTCCAATTTATCTTTCTGACACAGAAAGACATTTCATGATCGCTTAAGCTAGTACCGGTGACGACTCCAGAGTCTTTAATGTTTTGTGGATGGTTTGTAGCAATCAGATCAATCATAGTTCTAGATTCTGCAGTGACTCTTGTAGGCTCCTTGATTATTTGAGTAAACTGCAACAATTTAAATAAAGATTTAAGTTGGTTACATTCTGGGATAGTTGAGCATTTTGATGCAAAGTCAGTGTTCCAATCTCCAAGTAAAAGCACTTCTTGACCCTTTGAGACAGTAGTGTTCAGAGTGTTATTCATTTTTGAACAGAAACCTTTATCATAGTGGTTAGATGAGTTTGGAGGTCGGTATAAACAACTGGTTAGTAAACTACGCGACTTTGGAAGGGAAACTTCAAGCCAAAGGCCTTCTATGTCGGGCCTTTCAAGATCTTCTCTTCTGTCAACCATAACATCATTGCGAACATATTGCTACGCCTCCACCTTTCCCCTGTCTGTCCTTTCTAAACAGTTTATAACCAGGAATTGATAATTCATTGTCAGGAATTGAGTGCTTTCACCAAGTTTCAGTGTGCCCAAAGATGTGAATACTAGATTTGAGTTTCCTTAACAGAAGGCGTAGTTGGTCGATTTTCCATGGTAGGCTTTAAATGTTCTGATGTATCAATTTCAAGCCACGATTATTGACAATTTCTTGAAGTTTTAAAGGAAGATCAATCTCATCTTCACTAAGATCATCAAGTGACATGTTGTTATCAGAGCTGCTCATATGACAGTGGCCTGAAGAGTCAAAATCAGGACCAAGACTCATTAGATGAAAATCCTTCTTGCATGAAGTACAGGGAAGACAAGCATCATCTGTTTTTGTAATTTTGAGACAGAGAGGACACTTTGGTGTATCGCTAACTGCAATAAGCCAGTTACTAGTAACTACAATTTCAAGTAAAACATCATGCTGTTGCCTGTTAAGGGTTTTTTGTGTTTGAATGGTCCCCTTTTTGTGACTGCCACTGAATTTAAGGCATTTCACTACTGCGCAAACTTGAGCTGATCTTTATCACAAGGATCCATACTATAGCCTCATGTGCATATGTTATAACCCTTTTGGAGGTATGAAGGGTGACTAACATGTCAAGACTGCACTTAATCAACTAACTGGCAAGTCTTTGATTTGCATGGTATCATTAGATTTTTTAACTCTTTAACTCCCAAGATCTAATTGTTTATTCTCCTCTCTAGCTGCTACACATTTCCTCATATATCAGTTATGAAAACTTAGTGTTAGATTCTTCTGCCTGATAAGTTGGAGTTTCTCAATACCTGTTTAATTTGCAGGATAATGTATGGATGTCATAGGGAGAAGTTAACCTCTGAGAGTTAAAGGGTTAATCTGATTTTTTCATGTACAGCCTGCTTCAGCCAGAGGGATTGGAATCCGTGTCATTCACAAGTGGAATCAAATTCCAAGGAAGAGACCTGTTATTGTTCAGAGGTATGCTGTATATCTCCCTCTGAGTTTATTAAACTAGTATGTAACTTGTGTATGTACTACTCAGTATTGTAGGGATATAATACTCAACGATAGCAACCACAATGCTCTAGTACATGTACGTTGTGTATACATGGTAGAGAGATGCCACAACCTTTGGAGATTTCAAGTCCAGAGTTTCATTACTCATGGGTGACAGTTACCTCTGCAGTGAGGCTACTGTGACTGCCTTTCCTCCCATCCCCTCCCCCATAAAGATGAAGCAGACCCCCCCAGAATAAATTCAAACATTTAATCAGGCTGTAATTCTCACATTGCTTCTGCAGTGGTACTTCCTTGTTGAATTGTAATTTAGCTGCACAGTGCACGATAGTTGTTATAGACTATAATTGGTTAAGCTCTGATGACTGAGTGAGCACTAAGCATGTTCATAAGAAGACTAGTCATTAATAATGGTTTGTCATCCAATGCAGTCTGTAATCATACAAGTGATTTACAAAATCAGAGGACCACAAAGTGTGAGTCCGATTTGCCACTCACAAGTATGGTTACAGACAGAATCGGATGACTCAAAGTCCTGTTACCAATTAATCATAACAGTTATAATTTCTGAAAACAACAAATACATTCGGACAAATATGTGCTGGAGAGACAATGTTTAAGTGGAAAATTCCTAAACTTTTGGAAATTCCACAATTTTCCTAGGATAAGTGATTGTTGCTATGGTTATTGTGATCAATTCTGTGATTGGTGGATTTGACTGAAAGGACTAAGTATGGTTGGCTGCTTCAACTGTCAGATTGCAGGTGTCTGATTACAGCCAATTATCCGATTACAACTGTACCTAATATTTAGTGAAGAATAAAGCAGCTAATGCACCAATCATATTTGAAGAAATTGTAACAATTTGATTAATATCATCGTTGTTGTGATTTTTAGGTACCTTGCAAAACCGTTTTTCATCAATGGAAGCAAGTTTGATCTTCGAATCTATGTCTACGTCACTTCATACGATCCACTTAGGATTTATGTCTTTGAAGATGGGCTTGTGAGATTTGCAACATGCAAGTAAGTTTTCAAAGACTCAAACATGACATTCAATAAATAGATGTGTGCATGGTTAAATAGTTGTGAAGGTTTATTTGTCCAGCGCTACACTGTACACCTCCTAGGATTTCCATCTCCATTTTTTTTTCAAGGTACTCATCATCCATGAAAAGTTTAAGCAACAAGTTCATGCATCTGACAAATTACAGCATCAATAAAAAGAATGAAGGAGCTTACCAAGCGAATTCAGATGAAACTGTTTGTCAGGGACACAAATGGTAGGATAAAGTAGTGTTGTTCATTCACTTGTACATGTACTTACTGTAATAAGCTTAAACCCCTAAACCCAAACAGTGATTGGCTTCTAATTTCTCCTAACAATATCACCCCTGAATCAAATGTAAAGGCCATGAGAATATGGGAAATGATCATCAGTTTAAGAAGCTCCTGATTGTCGAACAACTTGTATTCTCGTCAGTACCACAGGAAATGTAGAACAAAGAGAACAGTGTGGAGAACGTAGTTACTAATTTTAAGGTGTAAACAATTAATTTGTTCGGCCTTGCAAAGAAATGTGTAGGGGTAGAGCAAGCTCAGTACAGACGATATTCCGACGCTGTCGTCAAAAAATTATTCTTTCCGTCAGTACTTCCAAGTCATGGTATATTTACATTTGGAGTACATTTGTATTTAATTTGATTGCAACCTTTCTCATAGATAACCTGAAAAACAAACATTCCATTTTGTTAATTAAACGTGACGCTTCTGTTTGTAGGAGTTTGAAAGCTCTCTGGGGTTACATGAAACGCATGAACATCAACCATGTTCATGTTTGGGATACAATAAAGGATTTGGTTGTCAAAGCCATCATAGCGTAAGTAACAGAAAGTGCTGTTGTTGTAAAGTAATACTCACTGGAAAGTTAGTAAAATCCATCTTGACAAGTACAGCTGCACAACAGTCCATAGGTTGAAGTTTCTTTAGTAACTCAGCTAGTTTGAACTTGCGTTAGTTTGGCCATAAAAGGCAGAAGCCGCCAGCATTATAGAACGAGTTCCTGCGAAGGTGGCGTAGCGGCAAAAACAAGATACCGACACGTTTACTGATCAGTTTTAACGTTTTTTGAGCCGCAAATGTCTTATTACGTACGGAGATGATAACTTTGAAAACTTTGTAGATAATAAAGAACGCATGTAAATTATCACTATAGATACATTTTTTGTCGCATTTTGCTGAAAACTTGAACCCTGTCATTACACTGTGCTTGTCCAAGAATCTGAAGGTCTATTTTTACTTATTTCTACATTTTCACCATTTTCGCCGTTTCTTTAAATCTTAACATGCACAAGAAAATTTAGTGAAATTGAACTTCTTGATGTGAATGTTTCAGTTCTGACTCAGCGGTAAACACCATGGTGAAACAGAATGTGAGAAAAAGGTAAGAGACTGCAGTTGGTCTTGAACAACATTTGTGCATTTTGAACAGAGTTTAGTTATAGTACGTACGCTATGATTGGTCTATTTACCGGGCTGTTTATGGCTGTATGCCCCCCTCAATTCAAAATTTTGTTTGAATTGATATCTTCGCGCACTATTTGAACCCAGAGATGTAACAAGTGTAAGTATTAACATGATTTCGAGTGTAATTTGGTGCTCATAAGCACGAGTAATTTTTTCAAAGACAACAGAATTGCATGAGCTCATAGGGCAAGTGCTATTTGTAATCTTTGAAAAATTTGCAAGTGCTTATTACACCAAAAAGAAAAAGTTATGAAAAAGAAAAATTATGTAATTACTTGGTTAGTAATATACTTGAAAAAACATTGCAGAAAGTCGAGACAAACGAAATTTGAAAGCGTGCGCGCGCCATTTGTAACTTGCACTTGTGCTACAACTTTGCACTCGTGTTACATGAGAATGCGCTCGTTTTCAGCTAATCAGAAGCGCGTATTTTTTTTAATGTACTTCGTTAATATCTTACTAAACTCGTTTTCATGGTCCGTAAGGTAAGTTACAAAATCTGTTTTTTTTCCCCGCTGGAACATCTAACTCAGTCAGTATTACTAACTGTAATATCTTTACTACCATCTACAACATTGTCTAGATCTTGCTGTCATGAGCTTTTTGGATTTGATGTCATGTTGGATGAGACCCTTAAACCGTGGCTACTAGAAGTGAATATATCTCCAAGGTAATTCACGCATTTGTCATGTTCAGAAATATTGACCTCGCGAGAGATACCAGTATTCAACCGAAATTCACATACTCAAGAGATTGAAATACTGACCTCGCGAGGGATATGTATCCAACTCTAAAATTTTCATTCTTAAGGGATTGTAGTTCTATGGTGTTCTTGTGAACCCATTCAAATAATTGTTTTCGCATGCAAAAAAATTTTTTTTCCATGGTCCGCCAGACATTGGAACATAGTAAGGGACAAAAAGGCTGCCATTTATAATTTTTCTCATCGAAAACGAGGATGATTTTTAACTTATTTTTCAAAATGCTTTTTAATGCACATCTTGTGTTAATTGATTTATTGCGGGACATTTACGAGCATTCGTTTTGTTTACTCTTTGTCTGAAGTGCAATAAGATGCGCAGCAAGTTGTGTAAAAGGGTGTGCAATAGGATGTGCAGTAAGATGTACAATTAGGTGCGTATTGAGATGCGCAGAAAAATGCGCGTTCGTTAATCGAGTAAACTTCGTCAACTTCCTCCCCAGTCTTCACTCCACCTCTCAACTGGACCGTAACATCAAGGGACAGATGATAAAAGACTTGTTAAACCTGGCAGGGTTTTGCATCCCAGAAAACCTGATCACAACCTCAACTTCAAGGTCAGTCTAACTATTGGAATATCAGAGAGAAATTGAAATTACGAGCTATTTGCAAATGATGAATAGTGAGGCACGTGACTCCGCCAACATGTAATTTTTCAATATGGTTGCATTGTGCAGCGCACATATGAGTATAATGTATTATGAACGTGAAATTCCTGTTTGGTTTCAGCACTAGTAACATGAACCAGTTTGTTCAAGATAAAGCTGTGACGGGTCTTTCTTCAGATGAGAGAGGAAAGGTGAATATATGTTATTGATGGCAAATACTTACAGATATTTAGAACAACATGTTTTTGTGTCAGTTTGCCAGTCTTAATTTACTGTGACAACGTCATATATATAATGGTAATAGGACCGAGTGGAGTCCAATTCGGTCGGTAATCATACGAGAGTTTAACAAAATTGGACGACCGCAAAGCGGGAGTCCAATTTGTCAATCAAGAGTATGATTACAGACAGAATTGGACGACAAGAGGTCCTGTTACCAATCAATCATAACGATTACAATTTCTAAAAACAACAAATACATTTAGGTCAAATACCTCCAGTGGAGACAACGACTAAAGTAAAAAAAATTGTAGTATAGTAATAGTATAGATTTATGTTTCGAGAAGGGAAATAGTTAGACATGCTTTATTGAGTGCTTTTGTATTGGAGATTGCTGCTGACTTAATACTTCTCCTTCACTGACCCCAACATATTGTTTAATCATTTTACTTATGAGCCTGCCTTACGGATTATTAGAACGTACAAATGATGTTAAAAAGTACTAACTATAGATACATTCCATTATTTGCGAAAATTTAAGAAGGAATTGACTTCGAACCAAGTCAAACTGTTCTTTTGTGTGTCGTCTTAATTTGTTTAAGTGTTGGACGTTATTTTTCTTGTGTTTCAGCATGCGTTTTATGTTCAACGTCATCTAGATGAGGTAGGAACACATTTTAGAACGTTTCCCTTCAAATTCCTTTCTTTTAAATGATTGCATCTAGAAATCCCACAATGCCTTTATTATTGAAATATCTTGCTGACAGTTACACAACATGTTTCATGAACTCGAAATTACGCCGCAGAGAGCGCTTAAAGTCTGCAGACACTTGACCCTTTTACTGGCTTTTCTAGGATGCATCAGGATGAATTGCGTCAAAACCCAAACGAAAGTTACCACACAGCCAGCCCAAAGAAAGAAATTAAAAAAAAGAAAATGTCGCAATGAACTAATAAGACAATTTACGGTGAAATCAAAGAAAATGCTTCGATCGCGGAAAGGCAAAAGGGACCAAGTAGTTGGGATTTGTGTTAGTGAACATCAGCATCTTGTTATTCAAGAGAGTGTCGAGTTTTCTAAAACAATCACATAGGCTGTTGGAGCTTAAGAAACATCAGTTTAATCCAATGCAATCCCTAGCTGCGTTCGTCACTTACTTTGGATTACTCGAATTTTGAATTTATTGGTAAGAAATTTTAATAATACAAACTTGTAATCAGTTCACTTCTCTTTCATTCATGTCTTTTAGCGCACGAAACAGTCAATCCTTGACATCTTAACACCAGACGACATTAGAATGCTTATGGAGACAGAGGATGAGGTACACTATACATTCGAATTTTTGAACAAATTTTTGTTTCGATTTCTCTTCGTAGTGAAAAGCAAAATTTACAAAGTTTATTGCTTGTTATGCGTGTGTGAAATAGAAAGGTGAATTCATTTTATCCTTTATAAGAGAATGCCATGCATTCGAGAAAGTGAAACTTTCCGTAATGTAGCATAGCTCGAGCGTTTCTATTTTCCCTCACAGAATAGTCGAAGAGGATGCTTTCAGAGAGTTTTTCCATCCATGTCGTCCAACAAGTATTTAAGATTCTTTGAGTCTCAGGTGAGGATAATTTTACGTACAAACAGTCATTACTACCTCATTAAACTACGGGCAGTCCCTGCTTGTTGCCGAAGTCCGTCGCGTGACCAAAAGAAATCAGAGAAAAAAAGGAAGATTTTAGCGCGCCGCGCGGATTTATGTAGTAGGTACTACTTATAGTGTGTGCCACTCTCAGAGGTCCGAGCGGTGCGCCAACCATTTCTTTCAATCACTGTTTTTTTCCCCCGAATGGTGCGACGGACTCCAGCAATTTTGCTCTCTTTTAAAATGACTTTCTCTTCCCTCCATCCTTGATCGAATTTTTTTCTGCCAATTTCCTTATAGAGATATTACAACATTTTGTTGGATGAATGGACAAGAAAATACATGAGAGAAGGGCGGAGCACAGTCCTGGGTAAGTTTAAATTCAGGTAGAAAAAGCTAGGTCACCGTAATGTATATTCGGAAAAAGTAAACTACGTTATTTGCAGTCTGTGTATGTATTTGCGATATTTAGACTGGCTGGCTCAGTGCAGCTCAGAGCTGGTTTAAATGGGGGCCTGTTTAAGACCAGACCACTACACCGGGAGTCGTGCGTTCCACAACGTGAGCTGAACAAGTGTAGTCCGTGTCACTCTTTAAAATTCTGCGTCTTTTTGTTGCCCTTATGGTCTTAAGTTTTTTCTTGTTATGTTTCTTACGATTCTACACTGTAAATGTTTATTTAAATTGGTCTTTTTTCTTACACAGGAATCGCTGTTCTCCAAGCTCTTGGTGAAAAGAAACTTCATATTGGGGCAACCTCGGATCCAACACATCAAGTGAGGCTTAATTTTATTAATTGATTTATTTGTTTTCGCAAAGAAAGTAATCATTCCTTTAAAGATTCTGAAAATAGTTCGAAATTCTATTTGGATTACTGACTGACTGATTGACGACTAACTGATTGACTGACCGACTGACGACTGACTGATTGACCGACGGACTGACGACTGACTGACTGACTGACTGACTGACTGACTGACCAGCTGTGTAACCGGTTAGCTGGCCTGCTGACTGACTGACTGACTGATTGACTTACAGACCGACCGACTGACTGAATTGATTGAATCGGATCCATCGAATGAATGGTTTTATCAAGTGACTTATAGAATGAAGAACTGACTGGCTGATTGATTAATTGATTGAGTAATCGATTGATAGCTCGATCACAAGATTTAAGGCTTTATCGATTAATTGATTGAGAGACGCCTTTTCCTCACAGTGGAATTGCCCTCAAGGTATAACGTACAGGTCCTCCTCCGCTCCAGCTCTCAGTTTGGACCACGGACTCATCAAATCAAGGTCGGTGTAAAAAATTAAATTCCGACTTAATGTCGATTGATAAAAACTGCATATCGCTGTTTGTTTGTTTTGATATTCCTGATGATAACATTTATTTAAAGTCAATTTATAGGTTGCCCTCAATCTGAAACACCATGTCACTCTCCGTCCATTCTCAGTGTTCTACATGTTCTTGAACGTTTCTTCTTTCTCTCAGACGCTTCTCAGCACCAGCTGCGAGAATAAAGGAGTGGAACAACTCAAACTCTTCATCTACTTCTATTAGGTACATGCTGGAAAGGTGCTGCATGGTTTTTTGGGATTGGCGCAGTTTCTTTTATGTTGACTTTGGTCCTTTTTCTACGATGGGTTCTGATTATTCTCCTCCGTGCTCTGCACTACTTCACACACTACTTCCTTTGTTGTTCATCCTTGTTCCTCAGAAACTCATTCTAAGCTTGTTTAAGCTTTTTTCTAGAAGCTCTCTTGCCACTCTACTTCCTGGTTTTCGTGCTTAGATATTTGAGTTTGTTTTAAATGTTAAGCTTCTTTCTTTATTACAATTTAAAATTGTTTACAAGTTCGTATTTGCTATGTATTTACTCTGTAGTCCGCACACCTACTTTAAAAGCTACAACAGATCCATTGGTAATCAGAAGGACTCATTTCTCGCTTTAAGCTCTGTTAGTTGATTGTACTGCTCGCGCTGTTTCGAATTGAGATCATCACTGATTGTTTTGACTTTATTTTTCCTTCCTCACTGTTAGTAGGCTTTCCTCTGCTTCTTCAACTAAGACTATCAAAAGGTATTATGTCAGCAATTTTTCATGTTCCTAAACATGTCCCATATGAATATATCCAAATTTGGTTGCGTGAAAGTCTTCAAAGTTCAGTCTTAGTCCGGTTCTTTTCTCCCATGCAATTATTTCTCTCCCCTTTTTCCATTTCTTGCTTTTCACCTTTTTAGGAATAGCACAGCTTCCATCTTGAAAAATTCTCCGCGGAGAAAATCAGCTGTTACATCATTTAAGGGCAAAAGGTACTCTTTTTTCTCCCGGTCTTTCTTGGGACACTGAAAATTCATCACTAATTTCACATTACCTGTACGCATCTTTGCGACGAGGGGTGAGATTCTGATCGCACATTCCAGATTATTGAAGAGCTGAATGTGAAGAAAAGGAACTATCATGATTCAATACGGTTAAGTTGCACGCGTTGTATCGACAGATTGTTACAGAGGAAAGTCATGAACAGGATCATATCCAGGGTTCCCAGGAAAGGGATTTGTTTCTAAACATCTCCTTGTTGTTTAAGTCTGTCATTTTTCTCTTATCCTCAGAAGAGATGTATCCGCATGGCAAAATGTGACAGTGACAAACGAAACTTTGTTCTTTCTGAACCTTTTCCTACTCCTTAAATTTTGGATCCTCATTCTAGTTTGGCGATTTTTCCTCTACTGTACTTTATTACTAATCTCGACTTCACTTTCTTTACTTTCCTCTTTTTCTGCCGGCCGATACCCGGAAAAAGACGACCGTCCTGATGTTTTTCCTTTTTCGTCCTCTCTTACCCTTCCATCTTTGGTACTCTAACTCTGTCTTTTCTTTTTGTTGTCCTCCTTTCTCCTCTCTTTATCAAATAGAAAACTTCGGACAACTCCACGATGTAAGTCAGCTCCTTCTTGTAGACGTAAGAATAAAGAAAATTCGGAAAGCTCTAATGAATCAGGGTAATATATAGTAACTTTCACTTTTTGTCTTCATCTTTTTCTTTCATTTCTACATCAAAACTCTAATCTCTGTAGTTCACTCTACAACTATTTTAGCTATTTCGTCCCATGTTCCTGTAAATTAATCGTTAATTCACAACTGACAATCAATGAATTTCGATCAATGAATTTCCTCATTGGCCTAAGAGACAATCTTGAAAACTGCAGTTTAGTTTTAGGTGTGCAAAGGTGATCTTAATAGAAAGTGGCACTTTGCTATATAGTTACATGTTCTCAAAAACGCAGATGCACTTATGAAGTTTTTAGATCATTTTACCCCAACATTTACCCTAACCTGTTATCAGTTGACAGTCGTTGGGTTAGGGGAGGGGTAGGAGCGTATTTGCTTAGATACCAACAGTAATTCCAAGTTCAGTTTTAAAGTGTCAAAGATACTTATGTAAAGTGAAACCGGTTCCTTTACTGAAACGACGATGGCCACGATGGCCATTAAGGCCCAGGGTGACCATCAGACCTACAGCTCAAACTTCCGCCAACCCAGGAGATCTTAGAACTTCATTCTAGGCCACATATACCACAGCAGTTTCAAAAGTAGCTTTCTGATATTTTGTCACAGCCAGCACTAAATAGTACTGTGTCAAGAACCACTATCCGTCTTTTTCTTTCCAGTGCTTCGGCTCCGGTGCTTCTGCCTAAAATAAAGAAGAAGTCAACAAAATCGCACACATCCAAGGTGGGTTTTTCTCAAACTTCTTGTAGAAAGTGCAATCTCTTTTTACTGAATACCCCGCTTATTCCATGGGAAGTCACTTCAGTTTTTTGAGCTCCTCCTCACGATACGTTTGTCTTGCTACAACTGAATAACATACACTTGATTTCTACTTTGTATTAATGTTTATCTCCTACGTTAAACTTGTTTAACTCAATCGCCCTTAGTTTGGCTCCGTCCTCGTAGTTTTTCATCCTCTTCAAACATCGTGTTTGATTTCCAGGTCAGCCATTCAACTCTACAAAATCGCTCTAACCTAGAAAACTCTAACCGAACGTGCAAGATTTTTAGGGACTCTTCGCGCCGACTGACCTTACCTCAGATCAAAGAGCGTGAAGCAGTTAAAGCGATTTGTTGTACGGTTCTCTGTTTGTTAGTACTAACAGCACTGATTAAAACTTCGAAGTATTCATTCGCACCGTAAAAATAGTCAGTTAGCCACACATTCAGTTAGTTTACCGCTTACACAAGCCGTAAAGCAAACGAACCAACGGTCAAGCCTCGGTGAGGGTTACGGAGCTATTTTATGAACACGGAGCATAACAAATTACAAATTTTTTTCGTTATGAACACAGCCACGCTAACGCGCTGCCCTGTAGCTTTCATTCCAATGTTTTGTGACATCATTATGCAAAACTCATTTTTTACGAAGACTGCCAAATATTAGCTTGGTGAGATTTAAAAACGATTAATAGGTAATGATAAACCCCGCTGGAGCATGGAGGGTAGAAGGCATTTTCCTCTTTTCCACTGGACTTTATCATCACACCTCCGCCCACGGGTTTCTGTGATGGCCACCAGCGCCACGAGGAAGACTGAAGACCAGTCAAACCTTGCATAGGGTAATTTAGTATTATCAATTGAATTGATAACGTAAATTAGCCACCGTGAAGAGTTTCGAAGATAAAATTTCGAGAATTAGCCCTTCATCAGAGCGAATGGAGGAATTGTGGGTTGTGTGTATGTGTTTATTTGAAGACCTTGCATAGCCTAACATTTGTAGCCTAACATATCATGAAATTGTTATGCTTGATTTTCAACTTATTCTTTTTTTTCATCAGATGTCTTCCAGCTCGGCCACATCCTCTGAGCGAACCCGGCAGATGCTGAGAGCTCGGATGAAATCGAACATCTGACTAGTGCAGGATAGAGGGCCGCTTACTGTGACAACAACTACCATACCCTCTCTCCCTAGTATTAATCCACAGCCAGTGTGTATCGGAGGGGAGGGTGAAGAGTGCATCCAGAGCCGACATGCGCATTGCACGATTGAGACATGCCCACAGAAGCGAGTTCTTCATGAACTGTTGATTCATCTGAACAGACTCAATTTAAGCTCAGATAGATATGCTTGATCCTTTAATTGATTCATTTCGAACTGCAAGCGTTCTTGTAATATAAATGTACATATTCATATTTTACGTATACAAAGAGCGAAAAGTGAGAATAGACGTAATTTTCATGAGACATTTAACCCGTGTGGGGTTAGAGCAAACGTGAATATAATGTTTAAAAAAAATCATCACTCTATCGAAGTTCTGTTTGCAGATCTGGAGCAGAAATGTTTATAGCCAAAGCTTTAGAGAACTGCAATAAGGAAAGAAAGGTATTGTTGAGATGATGATACCTTATAAATAATTATTTTCTTATGCATAATTTCCAAACACCGAATTTTCTTCATGATATTGAACAGATGTATATAACAGTAAATACTTCTTAATGCTTGTAAATCCAATTTCCATGATTGACACAACTTTTTACCATATTCTATCTGTTGCAAGTTTTTCTACGTATTTATGTACTAAATGGAAAAACAATTTCCACAGAAAAAGCTAATTGATATAACTACAAAGGAATTGATAACGAATTAAAAACGCTGCATTTTATCGTGAAACACATAATATAACACAATTATTTTAACAAATAAAAACGATTGTGAAGAATCGTTCGTTGAACTCTGATGTGTGCAGGGGAGAAATTTCAACACAGAGATTCCGAAATGTGTCCATCGAGAAACAAAAATGAATAAGCTTAACACTCAAGTCTCCAAAATGGTTTACCTGCCAAACCTTCGAATGAAAAAAGGAAAGAAATTGAAAAACAAAAGTAAAATAGTGTAAAGAGAATTAATCTTGTGCATGTTGTTAACATAAACTTGTGACGTTTCACGGAAGAGGCTGAACTGGTATATTCTCGACAAAAATATTTCAAACATGGTTGAAGAACTAGAACCAGTACAAGGAAAAGAAAGGTTTTCGTACCATCCAAGCAAGCACAAAAGCGTATTATGAGCGAGCTTATGCCGACTCATCGACTCATACGTATTTGCCTTAAAACGGACAAAGTGGAGGTCGTTTTTCCGCTCGGATTCGGTGTTGATCCAGTTTTGAGTCCATCTCTTTTCATGTACAAGTCCTCTCGCCGTAATGGAGCGTTATATGTTGGGATCTTGAATTATAATGCATCGCAAATTGTAAGTTTCGATCGTAAGTTAGTAACTTGCGATCGAAAACTCGAATGATCCTTAAAAGCCACAACATGAAGTGACAGTCCGTCCAGTACTGGATGATTGATAATTAGTTAACACATGAATAAAAAGGGTAATGGCGATGCTGCGTCATGGGGTATTACGAGATAATTTGGTTCTGTCAACTGACACTCTTATGAAGGACAAACGATGTAAACGTTTGACTTAGAAACTCTTTTCAGCAGCCAATTTACATTATCAACTCAGTTGATAAAACCAATTTATCTGGGCCCAGTTGTTCGAAGGCCGATTAGCGCTAACCCAGGGTTAAATTTTAATCTGCGTTTCTTCATTCCTTTACTCAAAAGCCTTTTTGGGAAAAGTTTCAGTGTCCTTTTTAAAGCATCAAGTAGTCATACTCTAAACAAAAAGAATTCGACTGAATTTTCTTGTAAAGCTTTTAGATCTAAAATCGGATTTCACACTAACCCTGGGTTATCTTAACCCAGCTTTGAACAACCCGGCCCTGGTTTTTAAATATTCTGCGTGATTGCGTAAAAATGTCGCCATCTTTACTGAGTGAACCGATAGTATTTACTGTACTATGATGTTTTTGATGGAATATTTCGGGGAATAAAATCCTTCATTACATTTCTTTAAAAATCACCTGTGATCGTTGCAATCTGATAGACAAATCGCACCATTTTATTTCCTAAATCGCATCTTTATCCCAACCAATGAGACCACTCTACTAAAAATACAACAACCGATCAAATTTCAAGACTTGTTTAAAGAAATCGATCAAATTGCAGGAAAATGAGAGACATTTTGTATCCAACGACTGAATCTCGTGATTTCAACAAATTTGAAATAAAGTGGTAGTTATTTACCATAATAAATTTCGTTATTGCGGTGATCTTAAATCCTGCTTTTTTTTCCTGTGTGTTAAGTTGTCAAAGTCTCCGTGTGCGGCAAAACAAATTAGTGGCGTTGCTTTTGTTTCTTATTCAGTAGCCTGCGGTGAAATAATCAACCAGCCATGTCGTTTAAATCTTTTTCTGAAATTTATTTAAGTCATCGTAGCGGCAAAGGGTCCGTAAGATGCGAAAGATCATTTGAAAAAAAATTGATGGAGCAAAATTTGAAAGAGATTACTGTCCACAAAACGGGGTAACTCCTGGAAAAATCGTCTTAAGCGCGGTACTTAACAAATAGGTTCCAAGTTGCCGTGCGTCTGTTCAGTAATAGATCACAGAGGACGTCAAAATGTGGTAAGAACAAAAAAGTGACACACTCGGCTGCGCCTCGTGTGCCACTTTTTGTTCTTACCACATTTTGACGTCCTCTGTGATCTATTACTGAACAGAAGCACGACAACTCGGAATCTATTTGTTTTATACAATAAAGAATTTAAAAAAGTGTTAATGATGACGAAATACGTCTGTCCTCCAATAGATCATAAGTGAGAACCAATTAAAATGCGTGCATAACTGAGCTTATTATATAATTTAGAATAGACCATGAAAAACTATATGTCACTGTGGAGCTTATAAAGTATAAATTCTGAAAATAACAAAAGCTGGTTTTCACAGTATTTGTTTTGGCAGGCACACAACTTAAAAGCTTTCTCTATCTAAAAAGCGAAAAAAAAAAAAAAAACAAAACTTGAAAGAACTTTGACCAGTGTTTTGGTCTGTATTCAGTTGTGTGTGTAAATCATGCATGGATAGAAAACATATCCCAATTTCGATGTTTCGTCCATTATTCACTCGTGCTGTGGTATTCAGAGCATCACAATACACGTAAATACACCCGTCGTCATCCCTAAAAACTAATTATTTCCCTTCAGTGCGTCTAATTCGAAGATATTAAAATTACGATTGATAAACCAGTAAGTTCTTCTCTTCTCTAACAGTGTTTCAAAAACTCCACACAGCATCTATAAACATGATCGAACATTTTTTCATAATCTGAAATGTCTCCAAACAAAGGATCGTCTATATTCGACTCTCCTTTGGGGTCATATGTTCCAAACAGTTTTACTTCCGCTGGCGTAGTGCCGTCATTTGGCCTAAAAATTTCATTCAGACGTAGTACATTTCTATCATGAAAGGCCAATATTACATCGAAATGACGAAAATCATCTTCTTTTACTTCTCCTACTCGGTGGTTGCTGGCAATTCCATGTTTCTTCAACACTTGCAACCCTCGTTCGTTCGATGGGAGTCCTTCACCGAAAACATAAGTTCCAGCGCTTTCAATCTCCCATTCGTTCCTACCTTCACGTTCCTGTATAAGGTGCCTTAAAATCGCTTTAGCTGTAGGAGAACGACAAGTGTTCCCTCGACAAACGAACAGGATTTTTCGATATTTAGAATCCGCCATCTTAGATTGCAACAAGGCGAATAAATGCTAAAGTGCCTCTATCCTAATTTGCAGCTTGTTAGAAGATTAAATTATTCAAATTATTCATCGCCCACGCACTGGGAATCAACCAACTTGAAAACATCTGGACACTCTTTCTTTCAAGTTCTCGAATAACGACAGCTATAAACACCGAATTTTATTCAAATCGTTCGAATCCTGTGATGTAACTAACGAAAAGTTTATGTCTCTTTTCAAATGAAGGATACTTATTGGGTAAGAGTGCCTTGCACCACAAACGTGGAGGGGAACAAAGTGGAACGAGCTCGGAGAACAGAAGGCAGAAGCTTAAGAGGGCGGGAGAAGGGATCTACATGTGGGCGGGAAGCGGGAGCAGAGGCACTCGTTTGTTGTTTCTTACTGCTCATCGACCAGTGAAAAACCTGTACCCAGCAAAGGGATTTTTTTCCACTTAATTCCAATTAAGGTCTACCGAAGCATTAAAGATAATTTCATTCGATAGGAAACATAAAATTGAAGTCAGCCGGTGTAATTAGATACCTCTCGAAGTCGGTTACGTCATACGTCATGAATGAGAGAACATGAAACATGCAAACAGTGTCAGCAGTCGGAATTATTCGGCGAGCAAAGCGAATTGGGTCCAACATCGTCTAAGGCCATATGTGGCAATGAAAAATCAGTCCTCGTTTCTGCAAATATTTATGTTACAATCACATAATCACATAGCTGAATCATACCGCTAGTGAACAAATGTATCATAGAATGTATGAACAACTTTTAAAACTTTCTGCAGAGGTTTTAAAAAGATCTCAATTTCTCGAAGAAATCCAAATAGTTTGAAAATGTGACTTCGAGACCAGCCGAATAATAATGTGCAATAACAGTCTATCAGCGCTTAAACTGAACGCTCAAAAATGCAAACGGTGTAACAATGGATGAGTAGTGACTTGAATCATTCGTTGGAGCCAGTTTTCATACAGCTCACGACAACAGCTGCTTCCAGCGAAGAGCGAAATTTTAAAAGGATGGATATGCAATTAGTTCAATTAACAGTCCTTTTAATCAAACCGAAGACGGCAGTAATACAAAGAGGGGCAAGAGCTGGGAAACAAAGGGCTGCAAAAGAACTAGAGGTGGGAGAACGTGGTACGGGAAGTTGGAAGTTGTGAGGCAAGAGTCGTATTCGAAGTTCAACGAAATCATGCAAAAAAGAAGAACATAAGGGAAAACAAGAACAAATTCAGCAAGTGGTAAGATTTACTGATTATATTTCAGTTTCCACTAAATACAAAAAATTTACAATTTTCGTTTGCGGGCAAGAGTTCCATTTTGCCCGCTTGAGTAGCCAAGCAGAGCAAAGGATTCGCATCATCTCACCCACGTGCTCCGCTAGCTATGAAATAATTAGCATTTACTGACAAGTTTAATTTGATCTCCGAGGATCATAGTTAATCGATTAACTATGCCGAGGATGATTATACTAATATTTTGCCATAAATTTATTATCACGCGACAAAGTTCACCGCAGAAATTGGTCTTGTTTGAAAACTGTCGCGCAGGAAACAACAGCCAAATAAAATACTAAATTTGATTAATGAAACATTCGACAAGAAAAGCACAAGTGCTCAAAACTACTTAAGCAAACATTAGGCCTATCACAGCAGTAACTGTCCACGCATTACGCTGAAAAGACGTAGTAGGAACACCATGATTAAAATATAAAATGACGCACATACGTGTGAGAGAGATTGGATATCAACCCCTTTCACACACACAAGAGAATCACATCAGTTCAACTTCTCCTCAAAATATCCATACATTATCCAGTAAATAGGTAATGAGAATCATAAATAAATATCTCAGCTTATCGCTGTGTCAGACGTGTCACCTTGCCATGACATAAAACAATATTTCCTCGCATTACAAAGAGATATATGGCAGTTACAATGTGCAATTTTATTAACACATCTAAAGAGGTGAGGACCACAAGCTGGTTTCCAAATAGGCATCATATCTCTAGCTAAGCCTGGAGCCATCAATAAAGTTCATGATCAATGATGTAATACTTATTTTCCAAGAAAATTTCAAAACTGCATCGCATTAGTTCAATTAAATTCCAACGCATCAAAAGTTAATAAATTGAGGCTATAAAAGCTTTCATTTTGGGCATAAAACTTTAGTCTAAGTTACATCATGCCGTGTGGAAAATAAAGGCATTGTGCTTATTATGTTAATTGCATGATTATTGATGCAAAACACTTAGTCTGTAAACTTAGCGTGACTTTTAAATAATGATTACTTCGCGTCCTAAACCAGCAAACCGAGTTGCTACTGCAATGCGGCCCTCAGTGGTCACTGCCATCCCTATCAGAGAATAGGACTGTCCCATATTGACAGGAGTACTTCGCACAAACTCACCATCTTTGGTGTAAATTTCTATATGCAAGATGTCTGTATCATAGTCCTCACCACCGACCACCACGACATGTTGACTTGCCCTGTGAAATGCAATTCTTGAAAACATCATAGATATTTGCAGATCAAACGTGTTTAGATGGTTACCTTGTTCGCTAAATATGAGAACACGTGACGGATGGCCTTGTACCACCATAACTCTGCCATCACTTACAGTGGTGATGTCGCATGGGCGCCTCAAGATTTGTTCTCCAAAACTGCAAACAAACTGACCATCAGTCTCATAAACATCCACAATATGTGCCTCGCTCCAGTTACTCTTCAGTACCATCACTGTACCACTATCACTGACCGACAGTTCACACCGGTAAAATATATAGCCCATTGTCCTGACGCGAAACTTGTGACGATGATTAGTGGTTTTGTTAAACTTAAAAATCCAGTATGGGTCCTCACCACTATTTTTTTCGACCAGGACATAAATGTTGTCATTCATGTCTGTGGCTAGCTGAACCTCCCGGGATTC